CGAAAATGAAAGCAAAAAAAACTAAAGCAAGCCGCCGATAGAACCATTAACTAGTGTTTCCTCTATCATCTTTGAAATAAGTAAGGGGTGGGCCGGACGAGTTCTTCGAGTTCTTCTTGCTTTTTCCACGGCATCACTAACCCGCGGAGTTTGAATTGAGGGTTACACCGTAAAACGCGTTGCGTATGATGAGGTGTGCAGGAGCTATATCCCGTTCCGCAGTCGTCATCTTTGTAGCACCATTGTCGCGCAATTTCGAGCCGAAAACGTGAGCTACTCTATCCCACCCTTAGAACAGATTCATCGGAACGACCTCATCTGGTGAATGCTCTAATGTAATAAAAAGGATAATCATAAAGTGAAAATTACAACATTCGGCATCGGCTGGAAAGTTCAAAATGAGGGCCCGCGCAGAGACTGCCACGCCCTTGGCGCTTTTTCGCTACTTAGATGATTTCAGCGAACCCATCGGATTGTTCATCGTTGTCGCAGCTTTCACATCAGTGTATAACTGCGTACGAAGTTATACGAGGACGGGATAATGCAGACTTGCCCCTTTTTGTTGTGTCCATTTTGGAACCACATCCCTCTTCTCATGTAGGGGTACCCGCTTGGCCATAATTATTGTACGTCAACTTAGGATCAGAAGTATGGGATACAGTATGGACACTTAGTTTTCATCTTGGTTTTTTTTGAACGGACCAAAGACTTTTTCTTTGGTTTCTAAGGTGGACTACATGAACGACTATGACTAGCATCGGCTCTACGCTGGAGACGACGACCTCCCAGTGCTTTCGCTACAGTATCTGGGTACTTCGTACGCGTTCGATATTTTCCTACCTAAAGAGGTGGAGGGCGGAAGTGGTGTAGTGGCAAGTGGCACGCTTACCACGCGAGCGGTCCGGGGATCAAATCCTGGGTCGTGAGTCGCCCGGGCCAACCAAGCCTTCCATCCCTCCGGGGTCGGTTAATTGGTACCAGACTTGTCTGGGAGGATAAAAACACTGACTTGTACATCGGCTGGCCCCGCAAGTCATTGTATAGGCCACATCGCATTCAAACGCCACTACGAATGTACAAATGGAAGTAGAATGCGTGCCGCATCCCAAAAGGGATTGATCAACGGCAAATGCTTTATCCTTTATCCTTTAAAAGAGGTGGAGCCAAAACTTTGTGTGAACATCAAAGTTGTGACCATCTTAAGGACTTCTTTTCAGATTTGGTCTGAACGACATTCGCTCAAAATTCACGGGAGAAAGGATTCAGCATCTGCTTTCAAAATTGAAAACAACCTGCATATCGGTACTTCTGACGATTCGAAATTCGAACCACTTTTATCGAGTAGATCTAAGAAGATATGTGAATGCGTGTTATAAGTTACAATGAATGTTATGATGGAATAGATTCAAAAAAATGAAATTATTGTATGCAAAGAATGCCTTACTGCGGGTCAAAGTCCCGAAGATGAAGATTGAGACGGACTTCGAATTCAAAGAGGCCTTTATTGCGTGGGAGTCTCGGATATGTTCAGTGGCCAGGCTGATTTGACTATCATCAGCAAGGAATCTTCTCTCAGAGTTCCTGACGCTGCTTACAGGCTATTATTAAGGTGATATTTAGTGGTTCTGAGTCATTCTGAATGATGTGAGTTAAGTACTCCTATTTTTTTGAAAAATTTTCAGGTAAAGGGAACAACAGCAGCGACCGCTTCAGTTTTGAAAGTGGAGTTCGATTCGGCTCCCGCAAATGATCCAGTGAAATTCCAAGCAGATCATCCGTTTTTGTTCATTCTTACCAAAGACAATAATCCATTATTCATGGCACAGTTTGTGCAATGAATTTTCCCCCTTTTCTTCGTGCGGTACTTTTCTTTCGTTTTCGGAAGCGCCAACCGAATTTATGTGATTTTAATATGTTCTTTCAGAATCTCATCTTAAATTAGCTCGAATTTTGTATTCAAGCCTCCGGCTTTTCTTACGAGCAACTTCTTCAATATCTGTGAAATACATTTATAACTATTTCAAGTCTTCAAAGGTGATCGATTCGAAAAAATAGCTGGTCGCAAAAGGTGTGATTCCAAATAAAGCATACGGTCACAAGAAATCAAATGAGCAAAAGACAAATACACATGTTTGAAATGTACATTGGAACAAACACATACGATATGATTTTGAGTTACCTCAAGCGAGAGAGTGATTTCTGAGAATGGACAGTTGAGTATCAGAAATGGCAGGGAATTAACAAGTAACACTCAGCTATGCTTACTTAGCGAGAAGAGAATCGGCGAGCGACAACATAGGCTACAGATCCAATGTTCAGTAATCGATTGTCTTCACAGAATTGACTCAAAGGCATTCAAAAGCGTGAAAAATGCCATAGAACCCAGCAAATCATTGCATTTCTTCACGTGTCTTATTGCGTTTCCAGACTGGCAGCGCCACTAGTATCAGAACGGACGCCCCGTAGAGCACAGCCGAAACGATTGTGAAGTTGAAAACACGAAGCGGCAACTTGTCGGGCGCGGGCAACGCGAGTGGGTGGGTATGACTGAAAGGCGTTTGAGAGATTGTTTTGTAGATAGGCTCGGTGTCAGTTTGCTACGGAATTGCCTAACGCATAGCCGCGGCTACAAGGCGACTTGGCTCGAAGCGGTGCGCTGCGTTTCCTGAACGAGGGGCCAACGATTCCGAAAACTGTGGAAAAAATAGGTGGGTTATGAATTTCTTTCAGAATTTAACCCTCACCACTTCGTTAGGATCTCGCGAACACAAATGTGGGACAGGGTTTAGGGCCATCGGCTCAGCATTACTCGTTGAGGTGATGGGGGGGCATTTGTTGGTTTCCGGGAGAGCGCGACGTAGCACTTCGCGGGGCTGACCAGGTTCGGCTTCTCTCGGGAAAATGAGGTAAAGGTGTGTGTGAGAAAGTCAGAGCAGGGTGAATATCGGTCGAGGAAATCCTCGACAGGGGGGTCGTACCTGTTGGGCTGGTCCATGGGGGGTCGTACTCTTGGGGGTCAGTAACAGCAGTGGTATCGTGGTGCAGATAGGTAAGAGGGTATAGCGCAGCAGAAAATGAAAACATCTGAAAAAACATGATATTAAATTTTCTTTGCAGGTTCAGTCGCTCCATTCCTCCACCTTCATGAGAAGGGCGTATTTGAAGGCAGTACAAAGAATGAAAGTGCATCCCCGCAAAGAAGACTGCCACATGTGCGCACGCGCTGCAAAGGCACCTCCTCTGCCTATCGCTCGCTCCTTCTCCCTTAATACCTCGCTGAGAATGACACTGTTGTTAGGGACCCTGTCGGAAAAACGACAACCGTGAAGAAAAAGCGCTGGGCAAATGAAGTTGTTTTTTAGGTTACAGGAATAGCACAACACACTATGTCTACTACAATACAGTTTCGTTCGAAGGTCCCCATCATATAACACCTTTCAATCGATTCTGCAACTGTGAGTGGAGGAGGGATGCATGGCTTATACCAATACGAAATCGGATGATGACGATTGCCCCTATTCTTATTGCTTGCGTTGAAAGATTTTGTTCTAGACACATTCCGAGTGTTGCCAACGAATCACACTTGCAATGGTGAAGGAGGGAGCGGATTTTCAGGTGGCCGGATCCGTCCTCGATACATACTCGACGCAGATATCTTCTCAACTAGGAAATGTAGAAGAAAGATCTAAGAATACCTCAGAAGATATTTGCTCTTTGAAGTTGGCAAAGACCTTCGCCACTGGAAAATCATTCGCGCGTCCCGACATTGTACTCGACGAACATTGGGAATAACCCTATCTTTCTGCATGGAAGACTTTCAGAAGCAATTTCAATACTTCTTGAAACGCGAAATCCAGCTCTATCTAACCCTACCTCAAACTGCTTCAAAGGTTATGAAATGGAGGAATGCAACCTTTTCATCGAGGGTGTAGATTTCGACGGTTTTTTTTCGGGATTTCAGGCAAATCTGACCCAGTGACAATCGCGCCGCAGCTGCCGTTGAATCGGCCTTTGATACACTCGGCTGTTTTGATATACTCAAGCAAGAATCAAGATTGAATCGCAACCCCGTGCCTTCAGGATTTCTGTGCATTTCTGAACGAACCTGACTTTGAGGTCACACAAAGTTAATGCCTCTTTCCTCGAGTCGATATTTCAGTAAATACACAAAAGTGTGCAGCGATGAAAGACAGTGCATAGATGACAAGATGAGGCGTCCATAACATTATTTTGCAGGATTTTTTTTTGATTTGTTCTTGCAGGATTTATTTTGATTAATTAATTGAATTAATTCTGTTATAGGGGGTCGTGCCAGGATCTCATTTCGGGGCTGACCAAGTTCGGCTTCTTCTGGAAACCTCTGGGAAAGTGTGGTAGAAATTGAGTGGTGTTGGATGGGATTTGACGGGTTTTTCAAGGACTTGGCCGAGAGTTCCCCATTCCTCTCCCCCCCCCCTCAATCCTCCCTCGACGTTTTGGAGGAAAATCTGGGCAAAGTTGAATGTCGATTGCTCAGAATCAACGACTATAGAAACAGCCATAGTGATGAGAGTGATGATCGGGGTAGAGCGGGTAGGGAGGTAGTGTCGTAATTAGGGAGCACTTAAGGCTGATGGTGATGGTGGGGAGGGGTGGTGAGTGGGTATCTCAGTGCGACCCTTTACCATCGCCATAAGTCTTAGAAGGCTAACGAATGAGCTCCTGGTGGAGGGGGTCGCAAAATTTTTGGAAAAGGGTAACGCGAAGCTTGAACCCCGTGATGACGTAAAGTCACGTTTAGGGGAAGCAAAATCAAAAATTCAGCGCACAAATGAGAGGGACTGCTATCCTATACCTGCGAATTGCTGATGTACCTCTCGAACCGCTGGTACATCGCTGGAATCGCTGGCACATTGATCGAAAAGCTGACGCTTCGCTTGTACCCGGCGATTCGCTAGCGATTCTCTGAATTCGCAAAGGATGACACCAGCCTTAGGGACGTACGCAAATAGTAAAGCAATTCGTGAACTACGGATGTTCTACTTCTTAGTGTACTGACGAAGTGAGGGCTGCTCACAGCATTCACCGTGAACGAATACTACGGATTACTGTAATTTTAGGAGGACAATCCCACGAGGCGCACAAAAAACTAAAAG